CAACGCTCTCCTCCTCTGGTCCCTTCACACACTTGAACCCAGAGGGAAAGGGTGTAGCCACATGGCCTTCACTCTGCCCAAAGTTGGCAGCCAATGCCTCCAGGTACTTTCGTTGATGCACCCGCATGCACCGCTTCTCCACATCTCGTTCGATGTGGAGCCCAAGGTAGAAGCTCACGTCACCAAGGGCCTTGCACTTGAACTTGTCTTGAAGCTTCAGCATCACCTCCTTCACAAGGTCAGAAGATGGTGAGAAAATGAGGATGTCATCCACATAAACCACCATGAAACTCCTCTGCTCCCCCTCGCCAAGCATGAACAAGGAGTGATCGGCCGTTGAGGGAGTGAAGCCGATCTCCTCCAACACTTCGCGCAGCTTCATGTACCATTGCCTAGGGGCCTGCTTCAGCCCATAGAGGGCCTTCTTCAGCTTCCACACTCTGCCACTACCATCATCAAACCCCTCTGGCTGCGCCATAAAAATCTCCTCCTCAAGGATGCCGTTAAGGAATGCCGTTACGATGTCCATTTGCTTTACTACCCATCCTTTGATGGCGGCTCCCGCGAATAGGGTTCGCAGCGTCGTCGGCTTCACCACAGGGGAAAATAGCTCCTTGAAGTCCACCTTCTCCTTCTGCTGGTACCCCTTGGCTACAAGCCTAGACTTGTAGCGCTCGATCTTGCCGTCGGCATCCGACTTGATTTTGAAGAGCCACTTGGACGTTATCGCCGTACGCCCCTCCGGTAGCTCCACCAATTCAAACGTGTCATTCTCCTCGATGCTCTTCAGCTCACTCTCCATGGCCTTCTTCCACTCCTCAGCATCACTACTCTCCAAAGCCTCCTTGAGAGTTGCTGGTTCTCCCGGCATCTCCACCGGAGAGAAGAACGCGAAGGCACACTCCTCGCAGTCACTCTCCTCGTCGTCTCCGACCATCATTGCCGCTCCGGCCAGGGCTGTCTTGCCCTGCTTTCCCGGCGCATCATAGGTCAGCCTATTAGGGGGTTGAACTCTCCTCTTCCCCCTTCCTTCCTCCTCAGCTGCAGGGACTTGAAGGCCTTGGCGTTGCTGCGGTGTGGCTCGAATCCGTGGAGCACTCGTAGTACGGGAAGGGAGTGACGGTGCACGCTCGCTCACTTGCTGCACCTCCTCCTCTTCTTCCTCTGCATCATTGGCCTCCTCTCCCCCATTCACAAGGGAGGATTGCCTTGTGGTTGTGCTGCCGCTGCTCAGCTCCAAAGGCAGCTCCACATGCTCCAAACCGGAACTCTTCACCTCCCCAAACCGCACGCATATCTTCGCCTCATTCTCCGCCTTCCAATCCTTGTACATGAAGTTCTCCATGAACTTGCAGTCCCTGCTCACCAAGAACTTCTTGGTGAATGGGTCCCAAAGAAGCCATCCCTTGCTGTTTTGAGCCATGCCCAAGTGCACGGCCCACACCGCCTTGGCACCAAGCTTGTTGTGCCGAAGATGCTTAGGCACGAGCGCCATGCACATGCACCCGAACACCCGAAGCATATCCACCTTTGGCTTCCTTCCTAGCCACTCCACATAGGGCACCCATTTGTCTGCTCCCACATGAGTCAAGGCTCTGTTCTTGGCCACACACGCGCTCCGCACCGCATCAGGCCAGAAATAGTCGGGTAGCCCGGCTTCAATGAGCAACCCGCGTGCCGCCTCCGTGATTGTGCGGTTCGCTCGCTCGGCGATGCCGTTCATTGCAGGGGAGTATGGCATGGTGAGGGAGTGCCGAATACCATTCTTCTTCAGCCACAACCCAAACTCCTTGCTCAGGAACTCTCCCCCTCGATCGGTGCGGATTGACTTGACTAGACGGTCTTGTTGCCGCTCCACCATCGGGAACCAATCCGTCTTCAACGTTTCAGCCACGTCGCTCTTCTTGGCCAGCACGTACACCCAAGTCATGCGGGTGTAGACGTCGACAATGGTGAGAAAATACTCAGCTCCAGCAGCTCCAAGCTTCAGGGGGCCCACCACGTCCATCACCACCTCATCAAGCGGTGCCTTTGCCGTTGCCTCCGAACTAGGGAACGGAAACCGGGTGAACTTGGCTTGAATGCACGTCGGGCAGCCAAGCACCTCATCGGGCTCCCCCTTCACACGTATGCCAGCAACCATCTCATTCTTCACTAGCTGCTGCAAGATGGGCAGGGCCACATGCCCCATGCGCCGATGCAAGGTGAGCCAATCACACTCCCCCGTAGCCGAAGTTGGATTGGAGAATGCCGCGCTCGCAATAGCGCCCCACATACTCTCTCCGTAGTCCTCCTCCGCTGCTGCCTCTGGGTTCTCCTCACCCTTTTGCTGCTCCTTGGTTGCTGCACCACTCTCCTTAGGTTCACTGAACTTGCTGGTCCCTCCAGGTTTGCTCTTCTTGAGCTCATTCTCCTTAGCGCGACCGTTCGCGCCATCGTCGCTACCGACCGCTCCATCCTTGGTGCTGATGCTTGCTGCCACTTGCCTCTCCTTAGGCATAGGGACCACTGGGATCTGCCACATCTCGTTGTAGACATCCCTGTCCTCATGAAGGTCCCAAAGAATTCGATCGCCAAGCCTTGCGGTGTAGGTCTTGGCTCCCTTCGAGTTCGTGTCCATGCCGGCCTTTGCCAACCGCCGCACGGAAATCAGGTTTGCAGCAAGGCTGGGCACCCAAAGCACGTTCTTGAGGCCCACCATCTTCCCATCAGCACCCTTGAACATGGCCTTGCCCATGCCTTTCACCTCTGCTCGCTGCCCCAAAGCCGATGTGACATGCTTCACCGGTGACGGCTCGAGTTCGGTGAGCAAGTCCGGGCGAGGTGTCATGCTATAGGTAGCGCCACTATCAATCACCCAATAGTCCAGGGGGTGTAGGGTCACCTTCCCCACAGCTGCTGGCTCCTCAAAGCCTTCATCCTTCTCTGGACCAGCCGGTACTTGCGTCGACACGAAGTAGAATAGACCCGGGTATCGATCGTCGCTCGGGTCCTTGTCGTTGTCTCCGCTCTTCATGTTTGCAGCTCCGCCACCGCGACCGCCACGGCCTCCACGGCCTCGTCCTCTCCCTCCTCCTGCTCCTCTACCCTCTTGGCCTTGAGCAGGGGTCCAACCATCAGGGAGTTTGTAGCAGTCGCGCCACATGTGTCCGCTCTTGTGGCAATAGTGACACTCGCCGTCGAATCGGCCGCGACCGCGTCCGTAGCTCTTGTCGTCGCTGCCGTAACCGCCACTCCTGCGGCCTCCGCCGAAGTTGCTGCCACCAAACCTTCCTCCCCCTCGTCCTCTGCCTCTTCCTCGACCATATCCACGGCCGATGCTCGCTGCCCCAGCGCCATCCGCACTCGCCAACTCACGGCGGCGGAAATCCTCTTGAAGGATAGCTCGCTTCACGTCTTCAAGCGAGAGGCGGGGCAAGTCGCGATTAAGGTTGATGATGAGCGAGGACCATGACTCTGGGAGTAAGGCCAGCAACTTGGTCTTCTTATGGAGCTCACTGTAGTTCAAATCAGCTCCCTCAAGCCGCGTCAACAAGTCGAAGAATTTCTGCACCCCTTCTTCAACCGCTTCGTCTTCTTCAATTCGTAGTGCCGCCATTTGCCGTTCCAACACCACCGCTACCGCCGCTGTTGCAGGAGCATGTACACCCTTGAGAGCAGCCCATGCCTTTGGTCCTTTCTCTGGTTCACGCTGGAATGGCTTGATGTGACGGATCTGACTGCTCCCCAACGCTTGCCCAAGTAAGAGATAGCCTTGTGCGCTCTTCCGCACCCACGGGCTCTTCTCCGGGTCGTTCTCGGGGCGCTTCTCCGTTCCTTCCATCACCTCCAGCAGGTCATAGTGGTCAAAGATGTTCTCCATCTTGAAGGACCATTCAGCAAAGTTGTCACCGTTGAACTTGTCAAGCCCAAACACCCTAGGCTCATCCCTAGGTGGGCCAAGACTTGGTTGCATGGGCGCCATGGCTGAATCACGGGGTTGGCCTTGAGCTTGAGCTTCTCCACTGCCACCAGCACCTCTGCCACCCCTTTCCTCAGGTCCAGACATTGTCGAAACTGCTCCAAGGGGCTCTGATACCACTTGTTATAGTCACAATAGGCTTGAATGTGCCTAAAACGAAAGATAGAGAGCACAGACGGATTTCTGCACAGCGGCTTCAAACGTTGATAGCGTTCTGCTCACAGCTGAAAATGACTTGATTCAAATTGGATCTGGAGCGTCTTCACGTCTTCTACAATTAGCAATTTAGATTGCACGAAGAATTGACGACACAGCGTCGGTTTGAACGAACGGTACTATGGCAGCCACTATAGTCTTAGAACACAAGATAGGAAGAGTTACGAGTTGGGAATGACTCCCAGCTCCTACAAACCCCAAGAGCCGAGGTACAGTGATGTGGAACAGTGCCACACTGTCCCCAACCACGAAGGGTCTCGAAACTACCCTTCACTAGGGCCTACACCAAGTGAAATGTTACACTACACAAAGTAATGTAACTGTCTTCAATATCTTGAGGTGTACCCTTTTGGCAAGCTTCGAAATCACTTGAGGCTTGACACCAAGGCTCGGGCTCTTCATCACAAACTCATCCTTGAGTTCTTGATGGGTCTGCTGCACACACCTGCGACACGCCGAACGTTCGACACAGGACAAAATAGAAACCGCGCACGACAAAATAGAAACCGCGCGCGAGACACAAACGACCGCGTAACACGCGTCTAGCGATAACTCGCTATTGACTCGACACACACACTCGACATCATGACTCAACATTCACACACAATTATAAGCATGAAATATATATTATCCCATGCCCTCATACCATTCCATACACACACACATTCACGCACACGGACAACAAGCCGAGTGCAAACCGTAGGGTTGCACCAACATTTTCATGTGCCACAGCGAAACAGGTGGTTGGGCAGTCTCGGGTCAGTGATCTAAACGCCTTCTACTGTGGGGTCAGTGAGACCAATCCCACCAAGTGACGGCGGCAATGAAGACTGCTCCCAAACGCGCGTCTGCTCCGTGACACTAGCGGGGGCCCTCTCTCTCTCTCTCTCTCTCTCTCTCTTTCTCTCTCTCTCTCTCTCTCTCCCTCTCTCCCCCTCTCTCTCTATCTCTCTCTCTCCCACTATCTCTCATTCTCTCTCTCTCACTCTCTCTCTCACTCTCTCTCGCTCTCTCCTCCTTTTCCTTCTCCTTCTCCTTCTTCTTCTCCTTCTCCTTCTCCTTCCCCTTCTCCTTCGCCTTCCCCTTCCCCTTCTCCTTTGCCTTCCCCTTCCCCTTCTCCTTTGCCTTCTCCTTCGCCTTGTCCTTCGCCAGGCTCTTCCGCTTCCCCTTCCCTTTCCCTTTTTCCTTCCCCTTCTCATTCCCCTTCTCCTTCCCCTTATCCTTCGCCTTCTCATTCCCCTTCTCCTTCCCATTCTCCTTCCCCTTATCCTTCGCCTTCTCCTTCCCCTTCTCCTTCCCATTCTCCTTCCCCTTCTCATTCCCCTTCTCCTTCCCCTTATCCTTCGCCTTGTCCTTCCCCTTCTCCTTCCCATTCTCCTTCCCCTTCTCCTTCGCCTTCTCCTTCCCCTTATCCTTCCCCTTCTCCTTCCCCTTCTCCTTCCCATTCTCCTTCCCCTTATCCTTATCCTACGCCTTCTCCTTCCCCTTCTCCTTCCCAGTCTCCTTCCCCTTATCCTCCGCCTTCTCCTTCCCCTTCTACTTCCCTTTCTCCTTCCCGTTCCCCTTCCCCTTCCCTTTCCCTTTCTCCTTCCCCTTCTCTTTCTCCTTCGCCTTGTCCTTCGCCTTCCCCTTCCCCTTCTCCTTTGCCTTCCCCTTCCCCTTCTCCTTTGCCTTCTCCTTCGCCTTGTCCTTCGCCTTCCCCTTCCCCTTCTCCTTTGCCTCCCCCTTCCCCTTCTCCTTTGCCTTCCCCTTCCCCTTATCCTTTGCCTTCTCCTTCGCCTTGTCCTTCGCCAGGCTCTTCCCTTTCCCTTTCTCCTTCCCCTTCTCTTTCTCCTTCGCCTTGTCCTTCGCCTTCTCCTTCCCCTTCTCCTTTGCCTTCCCCTTCCCCTTCTCCTTCGCCTTCTCCTTCCCCTTCTCCTTCCCAATATCCTTCCCCTTCTCCCTCCCCTTCTCCTTCCCAATATCCTTCCCCTTCTCCTTCCCATTCCTTCGCCTTCTCCTTCCCCTTCTCCTTCCCAATATCCTTCCCCTTCTCCTTCGCCTTCTCCTTCCCCTTCTACTCCTATTTTTTCCTTCCCCTTCCCCTTCCCCTTCCCTTTCTCTATCCCCTTCTCCTTCCCCTTCTCCTTCCCCTTCTCCTTCCCCTTATCCTTTCCCTTCTCCTCCCCCTTCTCCTTCCCCCTTTCCCTTACCCTTATCCTTCGTGTTCTCCTTCCCTTCTCCTTCCCATTCTCCTTCCCCTTGTCATTCCCCTTCTCCTTCCCTTTCTGTTTTAGTGATCGTTTGTTATTCAAATTCCATGCCTTCTCCTTCCTTTTCTCATTCCCATTCTCCTTCCCCTTCCCCTTCCCCGTCCCTTTCTCCTTCCCCTTCTATTCCCCATTCTCCTTCCCCTTCTCCTTCCCCTCATCTTTCCCCTCCTCTTCCTCCTCCTCCTCTTCCTCCCTCTCATTTTGCCGCCCATCTCTCCTTCCCTCCCTCCCTCCCTCTCTCTCTCTCTCTCTCTCTCTCTCTCTCTCTCTCTCTCTCTCTCTCTCTCTCTCTCTCTCTCTCTCTCAAGTAGTCATGTATTGATAGTGGTCACGAGGTACAGACATGGCAGGAGATGGTTGTAGCTAGTTTGTCTAAGCCTGTAGGCAGCCAGGAAACCTAAGAGCTAACAAACGGAACATGCAAGCAAACAAGCAAGCATATGAGCAAGCAAGGCAAGCAGTGCAAGCCAAGCAGGCATGCCGTGTGTGTACGGCCCAGTCCCCTAACATTATAACAGGCCGGCCCAGTCTCTCTCTCTCTCTCTCTCTCTCTCTCTCTCTCTCTCTCTCTCTCTCTCTCTCTCTCTCTCTCTCTCTCTCTCAAGCAGTCCTTGTATTGAAATATGGGTATGTACAATCATGCAGGAAATAGAGGAAACTAGCACCATAAGAGCTTACAAAAACTTCGAAGGTGTGATCCCTCTGTTGAGTAACGAATGCGTAATTGTGGGTAAGGATAGAGTGGAGTGCATGCTACTAGGTGGTGTTGTGTGACATATTTCTGTTGTGAAACAACAATGCTTCAGTTTCAGAACGTAGTGCTTTTCAGAGTTGCACATTATAGTGATTGCATGCATCCATCAACAAATACCACAACATATTTCTGAAAAAAAAAAAGACTACAACGTTTCCATGGTTGGATAGTTTTAAAAAATTCACGACACTCCTTCAGTTCAGGATCATAGCAGTGAGTGGGAGCTGGGAGTTGTGTCAGGTACGGTACCAGAAGCATGGAGCGAGAGTCGGGAGTGGTTGCAGGGAGTGGGAGATGGTTGACAAGGACTTGTTTCATACGATGTGATGTGTCAACAATGATACAAGGCCATATTCTAGTTTCACAAGGTTCACCATTGTTGTTGCAGCGAAGAGGATTGCAGCCACCACCCTGCCTGTTGCTGTTGCAATTGCTGATGCATTCGTTGCACTGTCTTCTGCTGCTCCTGTCATTGCTGCTGCCATCGTTTCTGATGTTTTTGACTCTGTTACAGATGCTCGTGTCGCTCTTGCTGCTGCTGCTGAGATTGAGGCCACTCTTGGTTGTTTTGATTTTGGATTTGTTGTCGCAATACCTGCAGCAGTTGCTCCAGATGTAGCCCAACATCATGTTGCTGTTGTGGCTGGCCCCTCTCATGCAGCTCTCCCTGTTGCTGCTGCCCTCCCTGCTGCGCATTCTGCAGCAACTGCTGCAGGAGCAGCAGCATCTCCTGCCCCTGCTGCTGCTGCTGCTGCTGCTGCTGCTGCTGCTGCTGCTGCAGTCCCTGCCACTCCTGCTGTCCCTGTTGCTGCTGCTGCTGTCCCTGCCGCTCCAGCTGTCCCTGCTGCTCCTGCCCTCCCTGCCGCTCCTGCTGTCCATGCCGCCCCTGTTGTCCCTGCTGCTGCTGCGTCGGCTGCTGCTGCTGCTGCTGCTGCTGCTGCTGCTGCTGCTGCTGCTGCTGCTGCTGCTGCTGCTGCTGCTGCTGCTGCTGCTGCTGCTGCTGCTGCTGCTGCTGCTGCTGCTGCTGCTGCTGCTGCTGCTGCTGCTGCTGCTGCTGCTGCTGCTGCTGCTGCTGCTGCTGCTGCTGCTGCTGCTGCTGCTGCTGCTGCTGCTGCTGCTGCTGCTGCTGCTGCTGCTGCTGCTGCTGCTGCTGCTGCTGCTGCTGCTGCTGCTGCTGCTGCTGCTGCTGCTGCTGCTGCTGCTGCTGCTGCTGCTGCTGCTGCTGCTGCTGCTGCTGCTGCTGCTGTCCCTGCCGCTCCTGCTGTCCCTGCTGCTGCTGCTGTCCCTGCTGCTGCTGCTGTCCCTGCCGCTCCTGCTGTCCCTGCTGCTGCTGCTGTCCCTGCCGCTCCTGCTGTCCCTGCTGCTGCTGCTGTCCCTGCCGCTCCTGCTGTCCCTGCTGCTGCTGCTGTCCCTGCTGCTGCTGCTGCTGTCCCTGCCGCTCCTGCTGTCCCTGCTGCTGCTGCTGTCCCTGCCGCTCCTGCTGTCCCTGCTGCTGCTGCTGTCCCTGCCGCTCCTGCTGTCCCTGCTGCTGCTGCTGTCCCTGCCGCTCCTGCTGTCCCTGCTGCTGCTGCTGTCCCTGCCGCTCCTGCTGTCCCTGCCGCTCCTGCTGTCCCTGCTGCTGCTGCTGCTGCTGTTGCTGCTGTCCCTGCTGCTGCTGCTGTCCCTGCCGCTCCTGCTGTCCCTGCCGCTCCTGCTGTCCCTGCTGCTGCTGCTGCTGCTGTTGCTGCTGTCCCTGCTGCTGCTGCTGTCCCTGCTGCTCCTGCTGTCCCTGCCGCTCCTACTGTCCCTGCTGCTCCTGCTGTCCCTGCCGCTCCTGCTGTCCCTGCCGCTCCTGCTGTCCCTGCTGCTGCTGCTGTCCCTGCCGCTCCTGCTGTCCCTGCTGCTGCTGCTGTCCCTGCCGCTCCTGCTGTCCCTGCTGCTGCTGCTGTCCCTGCCGCTCCTGCTGTCCCTGCTGCTGCTGCTGTCCCTGCCGCTCCTGCTGTCCCTGCTGCTGCTGCTGTCCCTGCCGCTCCTGCTGTCCCTGCTGCTGCTGCTGTCCCTGCCGCTCCTGCTGTCCCTGCTGCTCCTGCCCTCCCTGCTGCTGCTGCTGTCCCTGCCGCTCCTGCTGTCCCTGCTGCTGCTGCTGTCCCTGCCGCTCCTGCTGTCCCTGCTGCTGCTGCTGTCCCTGCCGCTCCTGCTGTCCCTGCTGCTGCTGCTGTCCCTGCCGCTCCTGCTGTCCCTGCTGCTGCTGCTGTCCCTGCCGCTCCTGCTGTCCCTGCTGCTGCTGCTGTCCCTGCTGCTGCTGCTGTCCCTGCCGCTCCTGCTGTCCCTGCTGCTGCTGCTGTCCCTGCCGCTCCTGCTGTCCCTGCTGCTGCTGCTGTCCCTGCCGCTCCTGCTGTCCCTGCTGCTGCTGCTGTCCCTGCCGCTCCTGCTGTCCCTGCTGCTCCTGCTGTCCCTGCTGCTGCTGCTGTCCCTGCCGCTCCTGCTGTCCCTGCTGCTGCTGCTGTCCCTGCCGCTCCTGCTGTCCCTGCTGCTGCTGCTGTCCCTGCCGCTCCTGCTGTCCCTGCTGCTGCTGCTGTCCCTGCCGCTCCTGCTGTCCCTGCCGCTCCTGCTGTCCCTGCTGCTGCTGCTGCTGCTGTTGCTGCTGTCCCTGCTGCTGCTGCTGTCCCTGCCGCTCCTGCTGTCCCTGCCGCTCCTGCTGTCCCTGCTGCTGCTGCTGCTGCTGTTGCTGCTGTCCCTGCTGCTGCTGCTGTCCCTGCCGCTCCTGCTGTCCCTGCTGCTGCTGCTGTCCCTGCCGCTCCTGCTGTCCCTGCTGCTGCTGCTGTCCCTGCTGCTGCTGCTGTCCCTGCCGCTCCTGCTGTCCCTGCTGCTGCTGCTGTCCCTGCCGCTCCTGCTGTCCTTGCTGCTGCTGCTGTCCCTGCCGCTCCTGCTGTCCCTGCTGCTGCTGCTGTCCCTGCCGCTCCTGCTGTCCCTGCTGCTGCTGCTGTCCCTGCCGCTCCTGCTGTCCCTGCTGCTGCTGCTGTCCCTGCCGCTCCTGCTGTCCCTGCTGCTGCTGCTGTCCCTGCTGCTGCTGCTGCTGTCCCTGCCGCTCCTGCTGTCCCTGCTGCTGCTGCTGTCCCTGCCGCTCCTGCTGTCCCTGCCGCTCCTGCTGTCCCTGCTGCTGCTGCTGCTGCTGTTGCTGCTGTCCCTGCTGCTGCTGCTGTCCCTGCCGCTCCTGCTGTCCCTGCCGCTCCTGCTGTCCCTGCTGCTGCTGCTGCTGCTGTTGCTGCTGTCCCTGCTGCTGCTGCTGTCCCTGCTGCTCCTGCTGTCCCTGCCGCTCCTACTGTCCCTGCTGCTCCTGCTGTCCCTGCCGCTCCTGCTGTCCCTGCCGCTCCTGCTGTCCCTGCTGCTGCTGCTGTCCCTGCCGCTCCTGCTGTCCCTGCTGCTGCTGCTGTCCCTGCCGCTCCTGCTGTCCCTGCTGCTGCTGCTGTCCCTGCCGCTCCTGCTGTCCCTGCTGCTGCTGCTGTCCCTGCCGCTCCTGCTGTCCCTGCTGCTGCTGCTGTCCCTGCCGCTCCTGCTGTCCCTGCTGCTGCTGCTGTCCCTGCCGCTCCTGCTGTCCCTGCTGCTCCTGCCCTCCCTGCTGCTGCTGCTGTCCCTGCCGCTCCTGCTGTCCCTGCTGCTGCTGCTGTCCCTGCCGCTCCTGCTGTCCCTGCTGCTGCTGCTGTCCCTGCCGCTCCTGCTGTCCCTGCTGCTGCTGCTGTCCCTGCCGCTCCTGCTGTCCCTGCTGCTGCTGCTGTCCCTGCCGCTCCTGCTGTCCCTGCTGCTGCTGCTGTCCCTGCTGCTGCTGCTGTCCCTGCCGCTCCTGCTGTCCCTGCTGCTGCTGCTGTCCCTGCCGCTCCTGCTGTCCCTGCTGCTGCTGCTGTCCCTGCCGCTCCTGCTGTCCCTGCTGCTGCTGCTGTCCCTGCCGCTCCTGCTGTCCCTGCTGCTCCTGCTGTCCCTGCTGCTGCTGCTGTCCCTGCCGCTCCTGCTGTCCCTGCTGCTGCTGCTGTCCCTGCCGCTCCTGCTGTCCCTGCTGCTGCTGCTGTCCCTGCCGCTCCTGCTGTCCCTGCTGCTGCTGCTGTCCCTGCCGCTCCTGCTGTCCCTGCCGCTCCTGCTGTCCCTGCTGCTGCTGCTGCTGCTGTTGCTGCTGTCCCTGCTGCTGCTGCTGTCCCTGCCGCTCCTGCTGTCCCTGCCGCTCCTGCTGTCCCTGCTGCTGCTGCTGCTGCTGTTGCTGCTGTCCCTGCTGCTGCTGCTGTCCCTGCCGCTCCTGCTGTCCCTGCTGCTGCTGCTGTCCCTGCCGCTCCTGCTGTCCCTGCTGCTGCTGCTGTCCCTGCTGCTGCTGCTGTCCCTGCCGCTCCTGCTGTCCCTGCTGCTGCTGCTGTCCCTGCCGCTCCTGCTGTCCTTGCTGCTGCTGCTGTCCCTGCCGCTCCTGCTGTCCCTGCTGCTGCTGCTGTCCCTGCCGCTCCTGCTGTCCCTGCTGCTGCTGCTGTCCCTGCCGCTCCTGCTGTCCCTGCTGCTGCTGCTGTCCCTGCCGCTCCTGCTGTCCCTGCTGCTGCTGCTGTCCCTGCTGCTGCTGCTGCTGTCCCTGCCGCTCCTGCTGTCCCTGCTGCTGCTGCTGTCCCTGCCGCTCCTGCTGTCCCTGCTGCTGCTGCTGTCCCTGCCGCTCCTGCTGTCCCTGCTGCTGCTGCTGTCCCTGCCGCTCCTGCTGTCCCTGCTGCTGCTGCTGTCCCTGCCGCTCCTGCTGTCCCTGCCGCTCCTGCTGTCCCTGCTGCTGCTGCTGCTGCTGTTGCTGCTGTCCCTGCTGCTGCTGCTGTCCCTGCCGCTCCTGCTGTCCCTGCCGCTCCTGCTGTCCCTGCTGCTGCTGCTGCTGCTGTTGCTGCTGTCCCTGCTGCTGCTGCTGTCCCTGCTGCTCCTGCTGTCCCTGCCGCTCCTACTGTCCCTGCTGCTCCTGCTGTCCCTGCCGCTCCTGCTGTCCCTGCCGCTCCTGCTGTCCCTGCTGCTGCTGCTGTCCCTGCCGCTCCTGCTGTCCCTGCTGCTGCTGCTGTCCCTGCCGCTCCTGCTGTCCCTGCTGCTGCTGCTGTCCCTGCCGCTCCTGCTGTCCCTGCTGCTGCTGCTGTCCCTGCCGCTCCTGCTGTCCCTGCTGCTGCTGCTGTCCCTGCCGCTCCTGCTGTCCCTGCTGCTGCTGCTGTCCCTGCCGCTCCTGCTGTCCCTGCTGCTCCTGCCCTCCCTGCTGCTGCTGCTGTCCCTGCCGCTCCTGCTGTCCCTGCTGCTGCTGCTGTCCCTGCCGCTCCTGCTGTCCTTGCTGCTGCTGCTGTCCCTGCCGCTCCTGCTGTCCCTGCTGCTGCTGCTGTCCCTGCCGCTCCTGCTGTCCCTGCTGCTGCTGCTGTCCCTGCCGCTCCTGCTGTCCCTGCTGCTGCTGCTGTCCCTGCCGCTCCTGCTGTCCCTGCTGCTGCTGCTGTCCCTGCTGCTGCTGCTGCTGTCCCTGCCGCTCCTGCTGTCCCTGCTGCTGCTGCTGTCCCTGCCGCTCCTGCTGTCCCTGCTGCTGCTGCTGTCCCTGCCGCTCCTGCTGTCCCTGCTGCTGCTGCTGTCCCTGCCGCTCCTGCTGTCCCTGCTGCTGCTGCTGTCCCTGCCGCTCCTGCTGTCCCTGCCGCTCCTGCTGTCCCTGCTGCTGCTGCTGCTGCTGTTGCTGCTGTCCCTGCTGCTGCTGCTGTCCCTGCCGCTCCTGCTGTCCCTGCCGCTCCTGCTGTCCCTGCTGCTGCTGCTGCTGCTGTTGCTGCTGTCCCTGCTGCTGCTGCTGTCCCTGCTGCTCCTGCTGTCCCTGCCGCTCCTACTGTCCCTGCTGCTCCTGCTGTCCCTGCCGCTCCTGCTGTCCCTGCCGCTCCTGCTGTCCCTGCTGCTGCTGCTGTCCCTGCCGCTCCTGCTGTCCCTGCTGCTGCTGCTGTCCCTGCCGCTCCTGCTGTCCCTGCTGCTGCTGCTGTCCCTGCCGCTCCTGCTGTCCCTGCTGCTGCTGCTGTCCCTGCCGCTCCTGCTGTCCCTGCTGCTGCTGCTGTCCCTGCCGCTCCTGCTGTCCCTGCTGCTGCTGCTGTCCCTGCCGCTCCTGCTGTCCCTGCTGCTCCTGCCCTCCCTGCTGCTGCTGCTGTCCCTGCCGCTCCTGCTGTCCCTGCTGCTGCTGCTGTCCCTGCCGCTCCTGCTGTCCCTGCTGCTGCTGCTGTCCCTGCCGCTCCTGCTGTCCCTGCTGCTGCTGCTGTCCCTGCCGCTCCTGCTGTCCCTGCTGCTGCTGCTGTCCCTGCCGCTCCTGCTGTCCCTGCTGCTGCTGCTGTCCCTGCTGCTGCTGCTGTCCCTGCCGCTCCTGCTGTCCCTGCTGCTGCTGCTGTCCCTGCCGCTCCTGCTGTCCCTGCTGCTGCTGCTGTCCCTGCCGCTCCTGCTGTCCCTGCTGCTGCTGCTGTCCCTGCCGCTCCTGCTGTCCCTGCTGCTGCTGCTGTCCCTGCCGCTCCTGCTGTCCCTGCTGCTGCTGCTGTCCCTGCTGCTGCTGCTGTCCCTGCCGCTCCTGCTGTCCCTGCTGCTGCTGCTGTCCCTGCCGCTCCTGCTGTCCCTGCTGCTGCTGCTGTCCCTGCCGCTCCTGCTGTCCCTGCTGCTGCTGCTGTCCCTGCCGCTCCTGCTGTCCCTGCTGCTGCTGCTGTCCCTGCCGCTCCTGCTGTCCCTGCCGCTCCTGCTGTCCCTGCTGCTGCTGCTGCTGCTGTTGCTGCTGTCCCTGCTGCTGCTGCTGTCCCTGCCGCTCCTGCTGTCCCTGCCGCTCCTGCTGTCCCTGCTGCTGCTGCTGCTGCTGTTGCTGCTGTCCCTGCTGCTGCTGCTGTCCCTGCTGCTCCTGCTGTCCCTGCCGCTCCTACTGTCCCTGCTGCTCCTGCTGTCCCTGCCGCTCCTGCTGTCCCTGCCGCTCCTGCTGTCCCTGCTGCTGCTGCTGCTGTTGCTGCTGTCCCTGCTGCTGCTGCTGTCCCTGCCGCTCCTGCTGTCCCTGCTGCTGCTGCTGCTGCTGCTGCTGCTGCTGCTGCTGCTGCTGCGGCTGCTGCTGCTGTCCCTGCTGAGTCACACCCTGCAGCTGTTTCCGTCTCTGATGTCGTTGCTGCATCTGCAACCTTCTCAACAGGCGGCGTCGCTTCTGCCCCAACTTCACATGCTGCTGTTCATCCCGCATTTCCCCGCTGTGGTCCGCTGGGTTATCCACAACGATTGATTGCTGTGTCTCAGGTACTGGGGTCTGATTTGTATGGCCCGTTGCCTCTGAGTCCGCCCCTGTCCCTTCCTCCACCACAGCCGCTGGCGTTTGATCCATATTTCTCGGTTCGGGTGCCACTTGTCTTTGCTGACGAACGTGTTGCATCCGCCTTAGTCTAAAACGAACCACGTTGTCACCATTGTTTTGCGAGGCGTCACCAGGTGTGGGATTGTTGTGGTCAATTTCCATCTCACCCGCCACTCCACCACTCCATCCTGCACCTCCCCTCCCCGCCCCGCTCCCTGCTGCTCCCCTCCCTACCCCACTCTCGGCTGTCTCTCCCCTCCCTGCCACGCTCCCTGCCGCTGCCCTCCCCGCCCTGCTCCCTGATGCCCCTGCCCTCCTCGCCCCTCTCACTGCTCCTCCCCTCCCTTCCCCACTCCCTGCTACTCCTCTCCTCCCCGCCCCACTCACTGCTGCTCCTCCCCTCCCGGCCCCGCTCTCTGCTCCTCCCCTCCCTTCCCCACTCCCTGCTACTCCACTCCTACCCGCCCCGCTCCCTGCTGCTCCTCCCCTCCCCGCCCCACTCACTGCTGCTCCTCCCCTCCCATCCCCGCTTTCTGCTCCTCCCCTCCCCGCCCCACTCGCTGCTGCTCCTCCCCTACCCGCCCCGCTCCCTGCTGCTCCTCCCCTCCCCGCCCCACTCACTGCTGCTCCTCCCCTCCCATCCCCGCTTTCTGCTCCTCCCCTCCCCGCCCCACTTGCTGCTGCTCCTCCCCTCCCGGCCCCGCTCTCTGCTCCTCCCCTCCCCGCCCCACTCGCTGCTGCTCCTCCCCTACCCGCCCCGCTCCCTGCTGCTCCTCCCCTCCCCGCCCCACTCACTGCTGCTCCTCCCCTCCCATCCCCGCTTTCTGCTCCTCCCCTCCCCGCCCCACTTGCTGCTGCTCCTCCTCTCCCGGCCCCGCTCTCTGCTCCTCCCCTCCCTTCCCCACTCCCTGCTACTCCTCTCCTACCCGCCCCGCTCCCTGCTGCTCCTCCCCTCCCCGCCCCACTCACTGCTGCTCCTCCCCTCCCATCCCCGCTTTCTGCTCCTCCCCTCCCCGCCCCACTTGCTGCTGCTCCTCCCCTCCCGGCCCCGCTCTCTGCTCCTCCCCTCCCTTCCCCACTCCCTGCTACTCCTCTCCTACCCGCCCCGCTCCCTGCTGCTCCTCCCCTCCCCGCCCCACTCAATGCTGCTCCTCCCCTCCCATCCCCGCTCTCTGCTCCTCCCCTCCCCGCCTCGCTCCCTGCTCCTACCCTCCCCGCCCCGATCCCTGCTGATCCTCCCCTACCCACCCCGCTCCCTGCTGCTCCTCCCCTCCCTACCCCACTCTCGGCTGCTCCTCCCCTCCCCACCTCGCTCCCTGCTGCTCCTCCCCTCCCTGTCCCTGCTGATGCTCCTCCCATCCCTGCCTCGATCCCTGCTGCTCCTCTCCTACCCGCCCCGCTCCCTGCTGCTCCTCCCCTCTCTACCCCACTCTTGACTGCTCCTCCCCTCTGCGCCTCGCTCCCTGCTGCTCCTCCCCTAAGTACCCCATTCTCGACTGCTCCTCCCCTCTCTGCCTCGCTCCCTGCTGCTCCTCCCCTCCCCCCCGCGCTCCCTGCTGCTCCTCCCCTACCCGCCTCGTTCTCGGCTGCTCCTCCCCTCCCTGCCCCGCTCTCTTCTCCTCCCCTCCCCGCCCCGCTGTCGCCTGCTCCTCCCCGGTCGTCCAATCCTCCACTCTCGGATGCTCCTCCCATCTCCCCCAATCCCCCACTCTCTGCTGCTGTTGGATTTGATAATCCCACACCCCCCGAGCGCATGTTTCCGTTGTTTCCTGAATGATTAAGTCCGTTAAATGCCTCCCCAAATACTTCACGGAGTACTGATGGGACAGCCTGTTGGACACCAGCACCCACATCCATTGGCTGCTCTTCTCTCTCCCCCTCCGACTCTAAACTGCCGTCCTCCTCCTCATCTGATACTTCAACATCTCCATTCTCACCATCTGCCGCGTGAGTCTCGTTGCCGTCCATCACCCCCTCCCCATTCTGAGGTCGTTCATGTTCATGATGTTGCCTCCTAGGCTCGCACAGTACATCTCTGTGGTGACTTCTATTGCATGCACTACACAGCGCCACATTCACTCGAGCCTCTGCTTGCGTAGCTGTTTGCACACTCATGTTCCCTTCCGGAGTGTGAAGTGCCTCCCATGCGTCTCTCAATTGTTTGCGCAAATCACAAGTCAGTCTATTGTGCCCTTTCTCCCCACACTTCCCACATCTACGCAGCTTCCTGCCATCAATCTCACCATGGGACCTCAACCGATTGATGCGTGGCCTTCCCGACTTCTTTGGGTACACTAGTGGCTCAACTGCTTTGTCTGGTACTATCTCTGTGCGGTCTAGAGTGCGAATCTCCGTGCTGTAGAGCTCCTTCAAAGCGGTTGATGTGTAACACCTGTGGATCATGGCTTGAACCGCCTGTTGGACATCCGCAAACTCGTTGCCACGCGCTGGCCGGATGTTGTGGAGCAGTACTGCAAACATGTGCATACAAGGCAGCCCATACTCTCTGCAAGTGTACGGGAAAATCAAATGGGTGTGAAACGAATGTCAGGATCCATCATATGACAAACATCAAGAGAAGGCCAGAGATCACAAAAAGGTAATGCATGTAATGACAACCCTAACACCAGGTGCATAACACCAGGTGACAAGTACTTCAAAAATCAGAATAAAAACACATAACTCACTTCGAATAATTACACGTGCACTGCGCCTTCTCTGGATCCGCTGCCTCCATCACCACCACACGTTCCTCCTTGGCTCCAATCTCACGGCTCACATGGTATGAACTTCTGCCAGTCTTCTCCACCTTGTACTGAGTCCCCATTTGACAATTAGCACGAATGATAGCTGCTGTTTTGGGGGGGAGATCATCCACCCCGAGAGTCCCATACAGCCCACGACCCTCTTCCATTGCATTCGCTTGCTGTGTTATGAATGCAAGCAACACTTGGGCTGGATTGTCCCTCCTCCACTTGTGCATAGAGGCATGATGCGACTCCACCGGGTTTGAAGTATAGCACCCAAAACGTGACGCATCAAACAGAAAGGTAGCCCAATGTGCGGCCAATCCATCCCTCTCCAAGTATTGCTTCCCCCCAGGGCACTCTTCCTCGATTTTGTCCATGTAGCCCCGCAACACATCTCTGGTCAATGCTGCAGCCGCGAGCTCGATCTTGCCATCACAGTCGGAACCAAACTTTGAATTAAAATTCCTCACCAAGTGTGTGATGCAAAATGCTTCACGCGCCCCTGGCAGCACTCTGGCCGCAGCTGCTTTCCATGCTTTACCACGATCATGCATCAATGTAAACCTCGCAGTGTTGATCTCAGGGGCAGCGGCCTTCAGCTGGCTCAAAAAATACTCACACGAATTCGCACTCTCACCTTCTACCCACGCACTCCCTAACCTCACCAGCTTATGTTCGCAATCTATCATGCATGCATTCAGGGTGTGGCCACGCCATTTACCTTTGTTGTGACATCCATCTACAAATATGATCGGAAAGCAATTATTCACTAACTCACGGACTCCTGGGTAAATCACTGCAGCACGATAGAACCTCTTCTCATCCAGCATCAATGACACAACGCTTGATGGGTTATTTCGCTTGAAAACATATAAGATGCTACCAATGTATTGGAAACCCGACTCTCCACCTAGACGATCCTCTCGAGTGACATCATCTATTGACCGGCCACACGTAGCATTGCAGCAGTCGACGCCTAACTTTTCCCGCACCATATCTCGTAGTCCAATGGGTCTAAGGACTGTATGAGGATGTACTTCACGCACCAATTGCTTAACCTGTTCCCTCCTAATCCGACCAGGGCGTGGCACACACGTGTGTGCATGCTGCAGCGTCACAGATCTCACACTAAAGCAGCAATTTCGTGGCCCGGTAGCTACAATCCGAAACGGACAAAAACCCTCAGGTGCTTTGGTCTCATTCTTGGGCCAGTCTTTTCCTTTCATAGGAGGGCAACGCACGTCAAGGTGTTCTGGCCTGTTGTCCCTATACCACGGCCTAAAGTTGAACTTATCGCCATATTTCTCTATCTCATCTCTAGCAGCGCTTACGGATGAATAGATTTTCCCTTGGTAAATGTGGATCTCCTCCGTCTGTTGCCCAAGAAATGCCCTGTTTAAAGAACACATAATGGCAAAGGTAAAAGAATCAAAGGTAAGTAGTTTGATGCAACCCAATCAAGAAACGTGCAGCAATACAAGGCATATCCCATACATTGCATCTGTAAATCAGGAAGATCACCTTGAAAGAGAACTTCTGAACATTGTGCACACATGGTTTCTGTCTACACGATAGTTTGCGAGTGATGGAAGTCTGAAAACATAAGATAAGAGACACATGTAAGGCAGGAGAATAAAGGATAGACAAGAAAATGGTGGATTGTTCTAAAAAATGTGGATGAAACACATGTGCGGGGTGACTGAAGCTTAGCATTCTGTACAGACCAGCGCAAGGAGTCCGTAACATGGTTGATAAACGGCAACATACAAAATGAGCGATCAATCATGCGGAAGGTAAGTCGTAGGGCACAGTCAGATTATGTAAGTCGCGTACGATGTTATGATAGGCTGGTCGAAATCAAGCAAACTTACCATCGACCGCAAGGATCGGAGAAGAGAAATAAAGGGTGCACATATGTAACGAACCAGAACTCATATCCTGGATTGCTAGCCAATTAAACATTATCCGAGAGAAGGTGATGCTCCTACTAATGGATATGGTGTGGCCACAAATTCGAGAAAAACGCATGGCGACTATGCTGATTTAAAGATTGCTTGAGGGAACGAACGCAATAACTTAGAACGAAGTTTTACATCAGTCTGTGACTTGTCGCAAACCCTAATCTGTGAAGCAGCATTAGACAAGTCCAACAGACCGAGGCAACGTAACGTACGTGAGATGAAGGGATTCAAACAACCTGACGGAGTGCTAGTGTTCTCCGTTTCCGTCTGGCGAGCTGGCCTGTGTTCCGAAATCTAGGGCGCGACAAACTAGCCTAGCAGATTTCGGAACAGTGTGGCAGCCGAGCCACCCAGAGTGAGGATTCGATTTTGCAGAAGGGACAAAAGTCAGTTGCGCACAGTTGACAAGCTGCCCAGTACAGTAATTGGCATGGAAACTTGTGCCACGTGGGTGAATGTGGGGAAGAGTTCTGTGTTGTTTCTATAATTCCCCTGTCTGAGGCACGGAGGGGCGGAAAGTGCCCCCCGCTGGCACTGTAGCTCCCTACAAAGCGCGGGGTCCCTAATAGTACCCCCGCGAAAGCTACTTACCCGGTCAAATAACGTCACAGGCACCAGCCCTGGAACGAAACCTGCGCTGGGATGAAAGAATGACACCAGAACAGCGCCAACACCTGCAATCTTCACGACGTGCTGTACGAAACACGCGCTAGATGGTATGACACAATCAAGCGCACGCAAACACGATCTGAACTTTTGCACGCCAAATGAGACCCCGCTCGACTTTGAGTCGAGTCGAGATACGTACCTCAGGTGTCAATTGAACTGAAAATTGGACCTACCACTCTGATTTGCAACACCTAAAGATCTAACTCGGTTCATTCCCTGGTACGAACTTCTGTTGGTATTATTCGCAACTTGTTTGCTATTACTAGAAACGCATCACATTTGTTTTTTTACCGAAGTTCGAGACTCGGCCAGAATAGGAGCCTAAGTTTCTGGGTGCACTCTCTCTCGGAATACTATACTGAGCTAGGAATACTTTCGTTGCGCGTCCAGCATCAGAGGACGGCATGTACGAGTAACAATTACTCTGGCGTGACGCTGTCCCATTTGACATCACCCTGAACTTACCCACACTTAGTCCGTGTCCGACCTACGTAGATCGCGCGCACCGTCGGCAATGCGGCATGAAGCACGCGCCGCTCGACGTCCTCAAGTCGATTCATTAGTCGTCGACTCAAAACACGCCGTCCAATTCGGCATCGCCCTGACCTAAGCCACGCTTAGTTCGTTTCCGATCCAGCACGCACGCAGCGGCGGCATTGACGCATTGCGGGCGGCATTGACGCATTGCGGGCGGCATTGCCGCATTGCGGGCGGCATTGCGTCATCGCGGCATGAAGTACGCGCCGCTCGACGTCCCTATGTCGCCTTTCGAGTCGTCCTGACTTTACCCACAGTTATTTTCGTGCCCGATCTAGCTCGCAGTTCGAAAACGCACGCTCTGCGGCATGAAGTACGCGCCGCTCGACGTTCTCAAGTCTCTCGCGCTCTTCGTCGCGGCGGGGATTCTCGAGATCGCCGGCGGTTGGTTCGTGTGGCAGTGGCGAATCAACGGCTGGCATTGGGCCTGGTGTTTCCTCGGCGCCGCGATCCTCTTCGGCTACGGGATTGTCGCCACCTTCCAGGATGCTTCCTTCGCGCGCACATACGCAGCGTACGGTGGGATCTTCATCCTGCTCGCGCTGCTGTGGGGCTGGGCCGTCGATCGGACGGCTCCGGACGTGTGGGACTTGGTGGGAGCGGCGGTGGCGGTGGGAGGGGCGTGTATCATCATGTTCGTCCCACGCCCTGCGGCTGACGGTTGAGTCGACTGGAAATTCCCCTCGGTTGCAGTTGCGGTGGCGGTTGGGGGAGCGTGTATCATCATGTTCGTGCCTCGCCCTGCCGCTGACGGCTCGGAGTGACTGCCGAGCTGATTATTGAGTCTCGAAAATGGAGTCGGAGGTGTCCGGGGCGGGCAGTGTGGTGCGAGTGCGCGCATGCGATGGCGATTGGTGTTGTGGAGAGCATGGGGTGTGGGGAGCATGTGGGCGAGGCAAAGGGATGGTGGCGATGGCTGGGGCGAGCAGTGCGGTGTGAGTGAGTGGGCGCAATGTCGAGTGACTATCGAAGGTTCAGGCTCGGCGCGTAGACCGTCGACCGTCGACTTCAAGGTTGACAGAATAACGGTCCGAGGCTCAGCGTGAAGGCGTGCAAAGGCGATTTTCGTCGAACGAGGCGGTATGTATTTTGAGTCGAAGGCATTGTGAGTGAATGTTTCAAGGCGCTCCAAAGTTGATGGAATTGGAATGAGGTTGCGCGGGGGCGATGGTGACGATGGTGAGGGCTGTGGCGAGTG